TTGTTTAGACAAATATGCCCAGTTTTTTTTATAAATTTTTTGTATGCTTAGAAAGCAGAAAGGATATTTTCCTGAAGATTTGGCACTCTTATTTCTTTAAGAATTTCATCCAGAGAAAACCATTTGAAAGTACGGACTTTTCTTTTCATTCAAGTCCTAAATATCCATCTAAATACACATAACTATGAGTTTGAATAGTTGAAAATGGGTAAAATGTTAAATAGTGATAAGTTAAGTGTATCTTGATAAATTTTCCTATTTCATTTGATACATTTTTTATAAATACAATAGAAAATTTTCCTATTTCATTTGTAATTTTTTCGATATCCTAGATCCAAGATAATAGAATTATATGCAAAAAATAATTGAAAAGATAAAATTGCAGCAATTAAAAAAAATCAACGTAGTCACAACCATACAAGGGACGCAAGTTTTTTTTAGGGTGGTAGAGCCCCAAATTGGAGAGACATGTACGGCCAAATTATGGCAAATTTTCCACTATCACAATAAGAAGGAAATACAATTTCAGGAAAGAATAGCCCACTTGCCCCCTTGTTACTAATCTTCACAACACACCTTGGTTCATCTACTTCTTTCCCTCCATATTTCTCTCTCTAAAATTGTAGAGAATATCCCAGCAATAATTGCTTTAAGTGGTTAATAAATTACTTTTAGTAGTGATATGTAGGTCATGGGGAACTTGGCTTGACTTTGTTCTAATTTCTAATTACAAGAATATGTGGGTAGAAACAACTCCATAATTCTTTGATTGTATATTTTTTTTTATTATTATTTTTTGAAGTCCAGATGAAGCCTACTCACTTATGACGCTTTTGCTCCCTCGAAAGCTTTATTTACCGTGTGAGGAATTTTTTCCTTCACTTCACTTATAGATAATTATCTTGCTCGATTAGAATACTACCCGTTGGGACACATCTACAAGAATTATTGCTTACCATTTCTTTTTGCCCTTGTCTTCCTTCCAAGAACAACGCCTTTTATAGCTTGCTCTTTGGGCACGAAATCATTCACCAGTGGAATTGTGCTGGCTTCCTCTCGTTCGTCCAAAAGAAATTATTCGAATAACCGGATATTTTCAACATTCACAGTAGAATCCATGTACATCATCATCAGTATGTTTTCAATTAATTAGGGTTGGCTACATGAATCATGGTCTCTCATTTAATATTCATAATAAGTTTTGAAAAACATTTACGTTAGCTGCGTACCTAACAGAACCCAACCCCTTTACTCGAACATAGGATGGGTTAGGGGAAAGTTCAAGGTCATCACACGTCTTAAACCATCTACATATACTCAGGTAATTCAAGATCAAAGGTATTGTCACCATAGTTTAATGGACCAAACCAATAGGCTTCAAATTCTTCTCTGACCCCTTCAATCTTTTCTTACCTAAGTACAACCGTACTTCGAACTTGAAAATGATATTCAGTACGATGCATCTCATGACGCTCCTTGTGCTTTTGTGCTTTCTTTAACCATTCTTCAACCCTTTGATGGATGAGATCAATCCTTTCCACAAACTTTAAAGCATTATTACCTTCACTACGTTCACCCATTTCCACTTATTTTCCTATAAAAACACTATGAAATGGGGATTGTGGAAGAATACTATAACATGCCTCGAAATAGTATCGAAAGAAGACATTTTAGTAGCAAAAAACCTTGTGATGGCCTGAAATTTATTTTCATGTCTAATTATAAAATTTTAAGTTTCAAAAAATAATCTAAATTGAACAATAAACAATTAAAAATATTAAAAATTGATAGCCTAGATAATGCATTATAAGATATACTATTTTCTAAATTTGAAATCCACTTTTATTCATATCTATACGTATTAAGGTCGTGTTAGGGTCTAAGAAGGGTGATGACCTTAAACTTTTCCTTAACCCATTCCATGCTTCGATAAAAAAGCTGGGTTGTGTTAGATGGGCAGCCAACGTAAAATTTTATCAAAACTCATCATGTATCTTGAAACGGATCAAGAATTATGTAGCCAATCCCAATTAATTGGAAAAAAGCTGCAATAATGATGATGATACATCTTAAGGTCAAGATGATCAATTTGAAGATTTTTCAAATCGAAGCAACAACTTCAAATGAATTTTTAATGTGTGTTTTAATTTGATTGTTTAGGGCCTCACCCTTGCATAAAGTTGCCCTTTTTTAAATTCCATTAAATTTGATGGGGAAGATTTTTATGCCGGCAAACATTTTCTTTTACTTTAAGACATGCTATATCTGATACCCTGCATAGTGACAAAGGGCGACGTTTTCATTTGGTAGGATTCGACGATCAGGATGAGCCCCCAAACTCCCAGTAATTCGCCATAATTGGAAGATTCATATTACCGATGGCTTGGAACCTTTTTGCCACGTGGCAGCACGGTATGCACTAGAACGCGTAAAGATTTTCGCGCGGCAGCATACTGTGCTGTATTCACACTCTCAACCAAAAGAAAATAGGCATTGAGCTTTTAGATACTTGAAACACATTTCCAAAAAATATTTGTGATAGCTTTAAAATATATTTTTATCTTTATTTATAAATTTTAAATTTTTAAAAATAGTGTAAATCGACATATCTATAAAAAGTTGAAAATCTTAAAAATTGACGGTCCAAAAATGCATTACAAAATATACTATTTTCAAAACATGAAATCTATTTTTTTTTCATGTCCACGCATCTTGATGCTGAGATGATCAATTTGAGGATATTTGGGTCTCAAAACAATCTCTTCTAGTGAAATTTTCGTAGTAGGTTTTAATTTGATTGTTTAGAGCCTCGACTCTATATAAACATTTCCCACAATTAAATATGGTGTTGGATGTAAAATTAAATAGTTGTATTTATTCCATTGACCAAGCTCAAATTTCAAAAGAAATTTTTTCAAATTTTGTAAGGTACTCAAGCTATTAGATTTTACATGGGATGGTTATAAGTAATGGTGGATGCAGTTGGTATAGGGATGCATCCGTAGCTGCAAAGGTAAGGTGCGCCTTCAAATTTTATCATAGTATATAATTTTGATGTAAAATATTTTTTGGATTATCTCAAAATCTATTTTCATACCTAATTATAATATTTTAAATTTCTAGAATGGTTAAAATCAAGTAGATCTATAAACATATGAAAATCTTGAAAATGGACGGTATAGATAATATGTTGTAAAATGAACTATTTTTGAGACTTAAAATCTTTTATTATTCATGGTTATGCTTCTTGATGCCGAGATGATCAATCAAAGGGTTTTTCAACATTACAATTACTTTTTCCAATGGATTTTTTAGGTGCATCCGTAGTCCTACATTATAAGGTTTCATCCTTATATAAACTTTTTGCTATAAGTCATTATGACCTCCTTGTATAAAATGTAGATGGTCTTATTGTATACAATTCCATACTTAAATATGAACTTTGGGTTTTGTTAGGCTACATCATTTGTGGTGTAGACTTTAAAGTGCTCAACATTTTAAACATTTAGATACCCTTATATTATAGTATAGTAACTTTTTGTTTAGGGGCATTTTAAGTAATTAGTCAAAAGTAAACTAAAAATTGTTAATAAAAAGAAGAATATTTATTAACAATAATGAACAATGACATCATCGATACGACGTGTGACATCACCTCAAGATGCATTAATTGTTTTTAACTACTAATAAAATGCCACGGTTTTTTTATAAAATATCCCTTTTACCTTTCTAAATGACAAAAAATGCCTCTATTTGAATAATTTTCTATTACAATTCAAATGTATTTTAATATCTAAAATGTTGAACACTTTAATAGTTTACACCACCAAATAGTATAGATTAAGAAAACCCTCTAAATAAAAGGTAAGTTGTTGAATATAACCTCTGAATTTGTGGCCGTACAAAACATTCCCACACAAGAGGGTAGCAACGGGCCGGGCTGGACCAGCCTTGCCTTGGCTCAACCCTTGGCCCATAGGTCCAATCAGTCAAGACCCTCTAGGTCTGCCCAAAAATAAATAAGAAAAATTACAAAAAAAGAAAAAGAAAAAGTTTGTCTATGCCGAATTGGGCCAACACTAGCCGGATCTGGTTAGGCCTTCTGGCCACAGTCTGTACTTTGGGTCCATCCAGCTGAACCGGTCTGGGTCGGGCTCCACATTTCCAACGACCACATTAGGCCCTACTTTTCTTAGGGCCCATCCGGCCGAACGGGGTCGGGCTCCCAATTTTCAACCAGCACGGGAAAAAAAGTTTTTCGTGGGTGAACAGACTATACGAGGGTAGTGAAGAGAGAGAAAGCTAGAGACAGGAAAGGGAGTGCGCTAGAGTCTAGAGAGAGAGAGGGGGGTTAGGGGAGTTCTTGTGATGGGGATTGTTTGAGGTGATGTCGCCGCAGACAAGTGAGTGCATCATCATGCATCGCTCCCAATGGATTTTCACCATCATAAATGCATATTCCTCTTTTCTTTATAATATTTCCATCCTTCCTCCTGCCTTTCCAGACTACTCTTTTTACCAAACTCCTGTTCTCCCCGTAAAAAAATAGTCTGACTTCCATCTTCACGGTAAATACACAGAAATCAAACCCTAGTTACATAGCAGTCTAGAGAGAGAAACCCCACATTTGTCAATTCCATAACCAGAAGTTGTGTGAGAGAGAGAGAGAGAGGCAGTACAAGCAACGAGTATGGGTACAAAACGAACAGTGTGTTTGACGATAAAACTTACGGAATTTTGATCTCATGTTTCAGTCCTACCATTGCCATTGTAAAAGGATTTCCCAACTGAGCTTTAAACAAAAAAAAAAAAATTAAATAAAAAGAGAGAGAGAGAGAGAAAGGCACTGTATACAGCTCACTAAGAGATGTGACAAACCTTTCATGTATAATTGAGAAAGAGAGAGCTCTGACCACTTTATGTATTTTAATCTTTTATATAAATTAATTCACATAAGAGAGAGAGAATAAACATTGTAGGAGATAGAGCTATAGAAAATGAACACTGAAGATATACCAACTTCCTTTTTGATATTTATACTTCCTATAGATATAGATATATATAGTTACGTATAAAAGTACAGGGAAGCAGCACACTGTAAATTACACAGGAGAACAGAGCAAATCTTTTCAACGGTTCTCAAGGATTGGCAAAGGAGTGGGTAGCAAGATCAGAATTCCAGTTGCCAACCATGAGATTTGGGCTTAATCCCCCTAGTCCCATTTCCTCTTTCCCATCTAATAATGGCCCTTGCTGTTGCCACTGTTCTTGCCAATTGCAATTAGTTGATGAAATCAAAGGCCCAACATTGTTATTGTTACTGTAATTAGGCCATAAAATATCATTAAAGCCGCTAATGAATCCATGGTTATACTCACAAGAAGAAGATGAATTGCTTATGTCTCTAATCTTCATCTCATCAAAACCCCCAATTAATTGAGTCCCTAGTATACCTTGGTCCATAGAATTTCCATGCCGAAACATCTTACCGTGATCCAAAGCGATATCGAGTTCGGGATCCAAAATTGGGGTTTCAGAGACTAAGTCTGGAACCTGGAGCATTGAATCAGAGCTGCTGCTGTTTCCTGTAGTGTCCGTCGGCCTTAAGAACCTTGCGTAAACCATGGCTAAGTCTATCGAAGCCCCACTATTTTCAGGCTCTGAATTTGCTGGAATTTCACTGAAATCGGGCCAATTTTCCATCAGTTCTTCCCCGGAATTTGCGGATTCAGATGACCGGTTGCTGGGATTCGAATTTCCGGTGACTTTGCTGGGTTTCGATCGCCGGTTTTTCCGGCAACCTCCTCCAACCGGCACATTCCTTAAAGAGCCACCTTTAGTCCAATATCTCCTGCAACTCTTGCAAAAATATCGCGGCTGAGTGAGACTGTAATTGTTGTAATAGCAAAACTTGGTGTTAGGTGAGTCACAACGAGGACAATGGGGAGCGGATTCAATGCCTCCTTTCCACCTTCTATCCATTAATGGAGGTCTAGGGCATGAGAATGCCTTTTCATTTGGTCTCAGCATTCTAATGGCCCCCTCTTCGATCTGAAACTCACATCATAGAAGAATAACTAAACCCCATTCAAAAAAACCAATTGTATAACTCAATTAAATGTTTGAAATCGGTATGAAAAACCCTGTTGCAAAAAAAAAAAAAAATGGTGAATTGAGCTTTAATATGAAAAAAACCAGTTGCAAAAAAAGAAAAAAAAACCATTGTAAATGGAATGGATGTTGGTAGAGTACTGAAGTTTAGCAAACACTCCCATTTCTCTCTTTTAGCAAGGGAAATATTCCCACTTTTGAAGGTTAATTAGAGCTTTGTATAAGGTACCCAGCTGAAGATAACCACTTAATGGTCTAGAGCTATGGAACACTACTTTAATTTTTGTCAATCCCAAAATTGAGCCTTGACATGAACCCTCTTACCTTACCAGAACAAGGAAAACATACTAAAATAGAAACCCCATTGAAGAAAACCATGAATTGGTTCAGAGTTTTAGAACACTACAGAATTTCAACTCAAGAGAGAGAGAGAGAGAGAGAGAGGGAGGACGATGGGTTTAGGTTTTAGTAGAGAGAGAGAGAGGATACCTGTAGTAGGTGCTTGGAGTGGAGGGGTGGAACCACCATTAAAGGTCAGGCCTAAGAGTATGGGTCTCTGGGGTGAGTTGCAGAGAAGAGTCCCCTAAAAAATGCAAGAGAGTGAGAAAAAGAGAAGGGGTGCGTTAAAGAGGAGAGAGAGAGGAGAGAGAAAGGGAGAGAGATGGGAGAGTGTGGGAGTAAGGGAAGGCGTGAGATCTGTTGCTACACCTCCGTAGCCGGATAGATCGTGTCGCTGTTGAGGACACGTGGCATATTCGAATTGGTTAGATCCGTGCACTAGAGTGCGAAGTGGGGGAAGGCCTCGTGAGAGAGATAGACTGAACTCTCTTCTGATGAATATGATACGGAGAACTATCATATCACACGTGTAATTCCACACGTGCATCGATGATTGCATGGGGTAATGACACGTGTGATTATTACAATCTGGACCGTCTGTGCATCTCAGCCCCCCTCTCCAAACTCTCATAAAATTTCTTGGAATGTCCGAAATACCCCAACTTTTGGAGAAATGGTCGGTTAGACTTTCATTAATGGGAAATTTAGGTCCCGAATTTGTGGCTAAGTTTTCCATAAAAGAGGGTTTAGATTTTGAATACAAAGGTCAACATTAACTTCAGCCATTAGTAGTCAAATCATGTTGTTAGGAATGTATTATTGATTACTTCCAAATTGTTAGTTGCCCAATTTCACATATGATGGTTGATATTAATTGTGGCTTTATTGTACCTAATTTCTAGTTTTCCATAAAAGCGGTACCTTAATATGAGTGCAATATTATTTGGTACAAGAAGTCATAATTATTTTTAGTTATTAAATGTGAAATCTGATAATTATAAATACAATATAAAGTTAAATATATATTTTTTAACTTCTAACTCTGTAAAGATTTGAGTGTTGGTGCATTGGTAAGTGTTGTTTTGGAAGTAGAAGTTTCTATCACTACTTTTTCCCTGCTTATTCTGGTTTCTTTAATGAGAATTTACTGTTAACATTTGAAAACAAAAGGCCAAATTTTGCCATTTGATGGTATCTTTCTTATATCATGGGATACTTTTCCATTCCACAATAGGTTATAGAAGTTGAAATTTCAGTTAGCAAAGTAAATAGAATGGGCAGTCCGATCTCCATAACCCAAACCTTGAACGTTAAATTAGAGTCGATAAATTTTCAAACTTATTAGAGATTCGAACAAAGAGGCATAACGTTCCCGGTGTGATAAAATGCAAGTTTCAAATGCTAGTGACTACGTGAAAATCGAGGCCTTTATGACACAAACAAACCCGCTCTTTACAATTAATAACGGCAACCGTTTGGAGTGCAAAAACGTCATGTGAAGCCCACGGTGAACTCAATTTTGGAACAAAGGATTGGAGCCCAAATCTCCAATGACATACGATTTTCTCATAGTGCGGTCGGAGTCGGAGTTGGAGTTGGAGTTGGACATGGAGTTGGAGTTGGAGTTGGACATGGAGTTGGAGTTGGGGTTGGGGTTGGGGTTGGGGTTGGGGTTGGGGCTGGGGTTGGGTTTGTGGTGGTAGTATCACTTGTGCCCCTAGTTAAAATTTAGGATTTCATTTTCACTCAATGCATTAAAAAACTACTAACAATTCAACCAACAGATAAAGACTAGTCATCCCCACCAAATTACCAAAAAAAAAAAACATTATATAAAACTTGTTATTTTAATTTAGACAGTTTCTATGAGTCCTATGAGTCCTATGACTCACATGTATACATCCCCCCTTTAAAAACTATTTTTTAGATGGATTTTGGACTTAATTTGTTAGGTATATGGAGTGTAAAACGGAACAAATTTTTAAAAATAAAAATGATTTTTTTAAAGAAAATTTATAGATCATTAATTTTTATTTTTTAAGAGGGACCACCATCTGACATCCAACTTAATGATCGATTCCAATGCCTCGGTGGATGCAAATGTAGATATATGTCCCCATAGGCAAAGATAACTTTTCCTATTCATTTTATGGGTTGGGTTTTCAAAAGGGAAAAAGTTTAAGGTGCACTTCTAAGATCCCTTAGAAAAAGGTTGTTTTGATGTTGGAAAAATATGTAATTTTTTTTCTCGACATAGAGTTATATGGATATGGAGAAAAACAGAGATTTCAAGTCTTAAAAATATTATATCTTGCAACACATTATTCGGATCATCCATTTTTAAGATTTTAATGTTCCTACATTTACATGATTTAAACTATTTTTAGAGTTTAAAATTTTATAATTAGAGATAAAAATAGGCTCTTGCATCATCCTAGAATTTTCGACACCCAAAATGCATCTCATGACAAAGTTTGGGGGTGCACCTTAAATTAATTATTTAAGGTTGAAACCTTATGCAAACTACACCCTTTTAAAAATATGCGTAATCATCTATTTATATAAATCCTCCTTCTAAAATTTGTTTAAAGGGTGAGGTTTGTATAAGGTACAAACCTTATTTCATAGAAATAATGCGTTCTTCTAAAGTTTGTTGAAAGATGTTGTTCTGATATCGAAAACCTTACAATAATTTGAAAACCTATGTGTCAACCCTGATTATACAATATGTACTATAGTAAAACCTAAATTTATTCTTGCTTTATATCTATAAATCTCGAAGTCGAGATGATCAATTAGAATATTTTTCACCTTCGGAACATCCTTTTCCACTGGATTTTTAGGGTGCACGTAAAGTTTATGGTATGAGGTTTCTATTTTATATAAAAGTTTTCCCTAAACCAATGTTAAAAACACCGATTTGTGACCAAGATCACCAATCCAAAAAACCAGTCTGGATGGGTGGATCAACGATCTTGCTGAGAGAACAAGTAAAAAAGTACTAAAGAGATTGATTAAAGTAAAACAATTGGAAAATAATAAAAAAGATAGGGCTGGATTGGCTGACCCATGATAGAACCAGCCGGTTTTGTAAGAGAATTGACCAATTCCTGATATAATGGAGAACCATATTCACCCCCTTGCTTCACAATCAGATTCGGGCGATTCCAATATAAAAAAGTTTTTTTTTTTTTTTGAGTTTTTTAACCCTGAGATAAGTAATTGTGATCATGAATATTAAAAAATAGAAATAAATTTAAAATTTCAAAGTGATCTCTCATGAATTTTTCTTCATTATTTATTCTAGATTTTGGTGGGAACCCTTTTTCTAGAGATGAACGTAGCATGGTTAGGAGACGAACGTGTATCCTGACTCAGACAATGCTTTTCCTCATTTTATTCAATGTAAATGACGATCACATATTAGTTTATTGATTGATCGATTCATTATATAATGCGAGAAAAGGGAAATAACCATTATTGTTTTCAAGTATTGGACATGATGAATATTATAAAAGACAAATTTTATTAAGAGAACCCTTTTTATAATTATAATAATATGTCTATGAAATATTACATAATAATACCTATGAAATGTTACTAATTATTTACATCCACAACAGTAGTACTTGTTGAATTGGTACATGACATTGTTTTAGAAGTTACTGTTTTTAGCCGTTTTTAAAACACGTTAAATTATATAAATTTGGAGTAGCCGCAACTTCAATTCTGCTCTATAGAAACCGCAGGCTCCAAAGTTGCTGAGTTGGTGAAAGATGTGGCTTTGACCGCTGCGTCTTCCATTAAAAAATACCATTACTCTTCCTTTTTTTTACTTATTTATCTCCCTCTTCTACTAATAAAACATGCTATTTTTTTTCTATTTGTATCTAATTTTTGGTTAAATGTTTCTCTTTCCTGATATAACGACTCTCAAACCGTCGTGAAATGGCATGGACCACTTTCGCTCCAATCTGTTAAATGATTAAATCCGTATTTATAACCTGGCCCCAAATCTACAAATTCGGAACTAACTCCAAAATGTTTAAATTTTAATGAAAGCTTCCAAAGGGGCATAATGGTCAATTAAGACTGTGTAAACTCCATAATTCCATGAATGGAGAGGGGCATGTGGTGGTCCCTCGGCCCTACTCAATAATGACACGTGCAAAGGGGTCCTTGCATGTGACAATCGACGGACCACATAAGTCCACGTGGGCACCATCCACAGGTCTTCTACACAGACTACGAGAAGAAGCTGGCCATGCATCCTCACCGGTGTCCTTGGTGAGGGCTACTGTAAAAATTATTAGGTTATTAAAGGGGTATTTTCGGTAACAGAACTTGGTGGAGGTTTGTCCACGTGTTCACCACCCAAAAAGATCCTTTTTTTTTTTTTTTTTCCTCCATTTTGGGATTTTCGCCCTTCTATCTCCAATCGTCGTCTAAATAGAGTTGAGTTTCTTGCGAAAATTAATGTATAAATGTGGCACCTGTGAGAGATATTGACACGTATGCCGACGTGAAAAGATTATGAAGTGGGGCCGCATATTAAGATAAGAATCCTAAGAAAACCATGTCCTTTGGAAAAGGTTTATATAGAGCTGAGCACTATACAATTCAATTAGAGCGCACCATAAAACTTTTATTAGAAGATGTTGTTTTGATTTTTAAATATCTTCAAATTGATTATCTCTACATCAAGATACTTGGACGTCAAAAAAAAAAATAGATTTTAAATTTTGAAAATAGTGCATCTCGTAAAGCGTTTTTTGGCCGTCAATTTTTAAGATTGTCAAGTTTTCATTGATCTACACTTTTTTTAAGCCTAAAATTTTATAATTAAAGATAAAAATATATTTTAATGCTATCACAAAAAATTGCAATATTAAAATCATATTTCTCTATATTATTTGAAAGTACACTTTACTTTGATTGATTCGGAGCCTCGGTTGGATACCTTATTGGCTGTACATAAGCAACGCTCAAAGAGCTCTCATATAAGCGGAAACACAAATGTTAAAAATTGGATTTTACCATGATTGTATTTAACTGGTTAGAAGTTAAATCAATAAAAATATGATTAATAGTATATGTACATATATAAGAAAAGTACGATTTATATGGTTTAGCCCAAAAAACTACTAAATCGATAAAATTTTGGGATAAACTCACCCCTTTGACCTTTGACAAAACCTTGTTGAGTTGGTTTTGGACCCGCTCACCTGACTGCTGTTACCCACTTATCTCTCTTCTTCATTCTACATCTAAGCCACTGTTTAAGAAGAGAACTTTGAGAGCGGTTGATACTTTCTCGCACCAAAAGAGGATGTCATCCAA